ATGGGAAAGACCAGTACTCGTAACTGGACCAAAGGAGGATATCAAATAATCCGTGTACAAATCAAGCAATTGTAAATCATTCATAACTGTCTCTTTTGACAGCAAATTTACGACCTATAATGTTTTTATCCAATTATCAAAATTTTTGACCTGCGAAAGGTCAGTGATATAAGCTCATGCAGAGTGGTATCTAAACTTGAGCCTAATTTTGATACGCCTTTAGATTTAAGGCTCGATACTATTACTGCTGATACTGCTAAATATCTAGTTTCTTATTCGCCTGATGGTAATTGGGCAGGCTATAAAACCTCTTTAGTCAATGTGAGAGTGAAAATCACTAACGTAGGCCAAAACACGATTGATAGTATTTCCATTCGAATTCCCATAGGCTCATTTACAGGCATTTGCACTTTTACTCAATATGGCATTGTAACTTTTGATTCTCTAAATCTTTTGCCAAATTCCTCAACAATTGTCACTATTCCTCAAATCAATAAGACAATATCACAGCTAACCTCACAGCCTTTTGTGCCAATTATTCAGCATTGTTTCAATATCATTTTGCCCAATGATAGCTTAGATGCCAACTACCTCGACAATTATCAATGCCATACTTTTGACTTGTTGCTGCATTCCAACGAACTCCAAACCACCCAACCCCTAACCATCTACCCTAATCCATCCACCGGCGGCGATATTCACTTGCAGTGGGGCGATGCACAAGCCACCCTAAGCGACGACCATGCTTACCTCGAAATCTATAATGCTACAGGCGCTCTAGTATATGCTCGCGAATGCACCAACAACGGTACTTCAACCATCCAAGCTGCTGATTTACAGCAAGTTGGCTGGTATTTTGTGCGCCTACGCACGGAAGATGCTGTGTATAGCGGGAAGGTGGGCGTTGTTCGGGATTAAATGCATAGGCTGCATCGAAGAAATCAAACACATAGTCACACAGAGCAAATAGAAAAAAACTATGTGCCCTATGTGCCTATGTGTTTAAAACGAATTCTCACCCAAACCCAACGGATTCTAATCAACACCCTTCAAACTATAGATTGCCCTACCAATAAACAAGCACTCCACGCACTTTTGTGGTATTAATTAATTTTAAATCACATTAAAACATGGATACCATGAATTTTAGCATCCAGAATGACGTAGTCGTCACTTATTACGAGGGCATAGCAAGTATCTATGATGAAGACAGGTTTGAAAACTCCTATGGCAAGTTTATTCATGTGCAAAAAGTCATGACAGAGTGCCATCGTGTGCTCAAGCCTGGCGGTAGACTTATCTTCGATATTCCTTCGAAAAAGAGGAGGCGGTTGTTCAATTTTGATGCACCTTTTTGGCATGGTGCGTATTGCATTCAACCGAAAACGCTTCATAAACTACACAAGAATAAATTTTCTATAAATAGAAGTTTCGGCATCCTATTTTTGCCAATTCACAGATTTCCAAAGGTTGTACGACCGTACCTATTGCATTTAGACCGTTTTTTGTCTAACTTTGTTTTTAAATCTTATAGCTCCTACATCATAGCCGAATTTATTAAGCAATGAAACGAAGCATAATCATACCATTGAGGTTGTTGAGGAAATGGATGAAGGACGTTTATTCTGGGCACTTATTTCTGTTTGCAAAAAAACGGGATGTTGGCGAGGACTATCCGTTTTCTATTTCTATTGCCCAAGACGTGAAACGCACCGAAACCTTTGAAAACAAGTTATATAACCTTGACTTTGCTGCTGCCGAAATAAACCGGATTGTAATATTGCCAGGAGAAATTTTTTCTTTTTGGCAAGTCCTTGGAAACCCCAATAACGGCAACTTCAAGCCCGGACGAAGCCTCCGAAACGGGCAACTTATACAAGAGCCGGGAGGCGGATTGTGTCAAGTGTCAGGAATAATCTACCATATCGCTCTCTTGGCTGGTCTTACCATCCTCGAAAGGCACAACCACTCCAAGGACATTTATACAGAAGAAACCCGTTTCACACCACTAGGAACCGACGCTACGGTGGCGTATGGCTACAAAGACCTCCGCGTGCAAAATAGCTTCCCTTTTCCCGTTCGGTTCAAGCTATATACTAAAGATGAAAAGTTTTTCGCTCAGATAAGAAGCAAAGAGGAAATCAAGCAAAAACAACTGCTTTTTGACCTTAAAACTGAAAATGCTTACAAAATCGTGGAGGTGAAAGATGAAGTTGGGGAAGTGGTTGGGGTTTCTTGGTATCTTTAAATATTTAAAATCTAGATAAAATGAATTACATAATTCAAAATATAGCTATTACCACCACTTATGAGCGTATCTCCAGCTTAAATCACGCTCCTAAAAGAATATTCTACCTCCTAAAAACAATTACCCTTATAGTTCTTGTTTTGTTCCCCTTTTGGGCAGCAGCTGATGTAGGCGACTGTTATGTGTTCAAAGCAAAATATGTAATGAAAAATGGAGAATCATTCACAGCCTACTTACCATACAGAGCATATGACTTTCCTTTCGGCAATGCGGATAGTATCAAGTTTAAAAATATGGACAAGGAATTTCAGAAATTTTTGGTTTCAGGCAGATATATCATAAGCAAAAAATACTATTTGACTGTTTTTGAAAAATACCACGTTTTAAAGGATGATAAACTGAAATCAAATAAGGAACTTTTTACTAATTATGGATTCACTGACACGAAATCAGTAAAAACCTTTCATCTTGACAGTATTAAATATACTGTTTTTCTTGGATATAAAATGGCAGACTTTGCAGATTATCACACAGAGATGCATGTTTTCAGTTCAAAAACAGTAAATATGGCATTGGACAATGGTTTATTAAATTTAGAAGAAGCCTACTTTGCGCCAAAAGGCAGTAACCCGGGTGATGCTGATGGGGTCATCGTTTCATTTTGCAATTTCAATTCGGAAGTTTCAACAAATGAGTTCAAGCAATTTATTGTTGAATATAAAAAATTAGCAAAGTATATTTTCACTTTTGAAAATAATTATCTAGAATCAGTTGAAACAGCAAAGCGAAAGAAAACAGCTGAAGAAAAAATCAAGCTATGGGAAGAAAAAGGATTTGTTGCATTTATCACCTTTGATGGGCCGTGTTAAGTATAATATTGCAACCCTAATAAAACACACTTTCCATTGCAAAAAATCGTAAATCCTAAATCGAATCAATCGAAAAATCGTAACCCATCCGCCAACTGACGGTCATTACTAAGCCGCGGCACCTTATTCTGCCCACCCAGCTTCCCCTGCGTCTTCATATAATCCCGAAAAGCATTGGCAGGCAATACCGTAATCTTCAGCGGACGAAGTATGCCGCCTTGTATCAAATCGTCGTAATAGATATTCTGTTTGCGCATTTCGAGGTCTATTTCTATGGCGATATCCTCGAGGTGAGCAGGGACTTCGGCAAATTCAATTAACCACTCATGGTAGGGTAGTCCACCTTCCGGCGGATTTATCTGCGGAGCTACCGTAAACTCCACCAATTGCAGCCCATATGGTTTCGACACAGCTAGGATGGATTCCTCCACCTCCTTAGCTATCACATGCTCCCCAAAGGCAGAAATAAAGTGCTTCACACGCCCCGAAACCACCAAACGGTATGGATTCAGGCTTACAAACTGTACCGTATCGCCTATATTGTAGCCCCAAAGCCCTGCATTGCTATTGATGATAAGTACATAGTTTTTGTGCAACTCCACCTCGGCTAACCACAAGCGGCGCGGATTTGCCTTGCCGAACTCCTCCACCGGAATAAACTCGAAAAACAACCCCGCATTGGAGTTGAGCAGTAGCCCCTCCGAAGGAAAACAATCCTGAAAAGCCACAAATCCTTCCGATGCCGGAAAAGTCTCTACGCTGTCAATAGGTTTGCCCACGAGCGACTCCAATTTGGCGCGATAAGGCTCAAAATTGACCCCGCCATAGATAAATACACTGAAATTCGGGAAAATATCGAGAATAGTCTTCTTGCCTGTGCGTTCCAACAAGTGCTCATAATACATCTGCACCCACGGCGGTATGCCGCTTATCAAGCGCATATCTTCTTTTAAGGTCTCTTCTACTATTTTCTCCACCTTCGTCTCCCAGTCGTCTATGCAATTGGTTGACCACGAAGGCATTTGGTTGGTTTTGAGCCATGCCGGCACCAAATGATTGGATATGCCACTCAGCCTGCCCACCTTTATACCATGCACCTCCTCCAACTCCGGACTTCCACTCAAGAAAATTACCTTGCCATCCATCCAAGCGCCATTGCCCGTCTTGGCGAAGTAGTTGAACGCCGCATTGCGAGCAGTGCTAAAGTGCAAAGGCGTACTTTCCTTGCTCATCGGGATGTATTTCACGCCCGAAGTCGTGCCCGAAGTCTTTGCAAAATACAAAGGCTTACCCGGCCAAAGCACATCTTTTTCACCCGCTTTGATGCGCTCTATATAGCCTTTCAGCTCCTCATAATCGCGTACGGGTACCGCCAGTTTATACTCCTCATACGTGCGCACACGCACCAGCCCGTGGTCTTTGCCAAAAGCCGTATGCGCCCCGCCTGTTATCAGCTGTTGCATGATACGCGCTTGGTCTTGCACAGCATTTTCCGCCATTTTGCGGATGGTGCGGGCTATCCATAGCGCATACGGATACATCAAGCTCGATTTTATACCCATTTAATGCGTAAAACTAATTAGTGCGTATTCGTTTCTATTGGCATCGGTATGTAAAGTTCGCCATTCAGCACACCGCGCGAAATGACGATTTTCTGCACCTCCGAAGTGCCTTCATATATCTGAGTGATTTTTGCATCGCGCATCAATCGCTCCACGTGATATTCCTTCACAAAACCATAGCCGCCGTGTATCTGCACCGCTTCTACCGTGTGTTTCATAGCCACCGACGAGGCCATCAACTTAGCCATTGCCGAAGCCGAATCGAAGTTAAGTCCTTGGTCTTTCATCCAAGCCGCGCGATACACCATCAAGCGAGCTGCCTCAATATCGGTAGCCATATCCGCCAGTTTGAAAGCAATTGCTTGGTGCTGACTGATCGGCTTTCCGAATGCTTCACGCTCCTTGGAGTAAGCCACCGCCAATTCCAATGCACCCGCAGCGATACCCAAAGCCTGCGCAGCTATGCCAATACGACCACCCGAAAGCACCTGCATGGCAAATTTAAATCCGAAGCCATCCTCACCGATTCTATTTTCCTTCGGCACCTTCACATCCGTGTACATAATCGTGTGTGTATCCGACGAGCGAATGCCCAATTTATCCTCTTTTCCGCCTATTACGACGCCATCCCACGATGTTTCCACCAAAAAAGCATTGATACCGCGGTGTTTTTTCTCCGGATTCGTCTGTGCTATCACAATATGGAGCTTCGACGTACCACCATTGGTTATCCAGTTTTTCGTGCCATTGAGCACATAATGGTCGCCCATATCTACAGCAGTAGTGCGTTGCGAAGTAGCATCGCTACCCGCCTCCGGTTCGCTCAAGCAAAACGCCCCAATCCATTCGCCCGTCGCCAATTTGCTCAAATATTTCGCTTTTTGGTCAGCAGTTCCAAACTTTTCCAAGCCCCAGCACACCAGCGAATTATTCACCGACATGATCACCGAGCAAGAGTTATCCACCTTGCTTATTTCTTCCATCGCCAGCACATACGACAGTGTATCCATGCCGCCGCCGCCATTTTCCGGCTTCACCATCATGCCCAAAAAGCCCAATTCTGCCATTTTGCGCACCTGTTCCTTGGGGTATTCCATTTTTGAGTCGCGCGCTATCACACCGGGCTTCAGCTCCGATTGAGCAAATTCGCGTGCCGCTTCCTTCACGGCGAGTTGTTCTTCAGTTAGGACAAACATAATAATTGTTGTGTTGTATATTGTATAATTGATGTAAAATGCAAAACAGCCATCTGTGGTGACAATGCTGCTTCTTTAGCCCGCAAAATTACGCCAAACTCTACAATTAGCGCAATTCGCTAAGTATAAAAGCGCAAAATCGTCATTTATTTTTTTATTGCTTGGTTTCCCGCTGAAATGCGCGGGATCGGGGTGCTTTACCACATAGATACATAGACCTTTCACATAGCGCACATAGTCTATGTGTTCTATGTAAAAAATCTATGTAGCTATGTGGTAAATTTTGCCAAGAATTGGGAGTTTGACACGCAATAATTCATAATTCATATCTCATATCTAAAATTATGGCGTGTCCTCGAAAACCGCCCTAGGGCGAGGTGCGTAGCTTAGTCATTTCGGAAGGCGGTTTCGAGGTCGGGCTATCCGTTGCAATAGCTACAGCAATTCCCGCTTTGGCAAATTGCTAACAAATAACTACTTTTGCGGTTATGAAAAAGAAAAGTTACGAAATGAATCGCAATGAGATAAGTATGGACAAAGAAATTTCCGATATTCGGAAATTATT